GTGTGTGTGTGTGTGTGTGTGTGTGTGTGTGTGTGTGTGTGTGTGTGTGTGTATGTGTGTGTGATTTTTTTACGACCAGTTAAGAAAAAATATAATCCAGAAAGATCCGTGGATGATCTCGATCTCTCTGGATTTTCCGCGATAAAAAATGAATACAATTAGTAATCGATTTGTGTCTTTCCTTTGGATGCAGCTATTCGCCGGGACCGCCTGTATGTTCAAGTCGCACAACAAGGTTTGTCCTTTTTTTCTTTTTATCTTCTGCTAATGTACGTTTGGTGTCACTCTTTAATATGTCACTCTTAATATTTGTCGATATTCCTTTTGGTGTGTCATCAATATTTGTCTCGTCCTTCTTCTCATCCGTATCTTTAAATTAATCCTTCCACAATTTCTCGTAAAGATCTTGATGTTTGCACACGAAAGAACGTATACACGCTGAATTTGCATTGCAAAGTGTAATGCGAAGATTAATTTGAGTCTCTTTGCCTTGATGTCTTTGCTGTTTCACGAGTTAAAGGACGATATTAATTGTTTCGGTGCTTTCGAAATCACGGTAAGACGACGCGAAAAGGATACGGCGAAAGATAAGGGATAAGAGAACAGAGACGACAAAAGAGTTGAGTTGAATTGAATTAAATCGGCGAAGATCCGTTTCGCGATGTAGATAACGACAATAATTTTCCATCTCTTCGGCATCTCACAAAGCAGCTAAAGTTTCGCGTCGGTGTATCTCTCAAAATGAGATTTATTGGAATTGATTTATTATTAATAATTGTTCGTACATTTGCATGAATTTTGAATATATTTGTATACGTTTAAAATTTGGTAACAAATTCATCTTGAATGCATGTAGAATTTTATAATAAAAAATTAAACTTGATTTCAGTTAATGTTTCTTCGTTCAATTATACATGCGTGCTCGTTCTCGTCTATTATTTTTAAAGAATTTGGAAGTTTCGAGTCTTCTAATAATACAATTGCATTTTTTTTCTACCGGGCTGTTTCCCGGTTTGTCTTACCTTCGCTTTGTCTACCGTCGCGTCTAGTTTCACAGAATCAATCGTAATTTCCTTTCCACGCACGTAACTCTTCTCTCAGTTTCGTCTGTGCACACTTCGCAATGGAGCAATGACTCTCTCGTTCGCGAAAGGTTTGATAGCCTACCGTGTTTATCTATCCAGGAATTGCATCATTGTTGTTGTCGTCAATAAACGTGACGTGAACGAACGGCAAACAATCGTGACAGCACGGCGTCCACACTCGTGATCACATTTATCGCAAGACATTTTGATATCTATATTATATTGGGCGGATATTAAATACGAGCTGTCGACCCGAACGATAAGTCAATAATAAGTTCTAATATATATATATATCAAATCATTTTATGATTAGTTTGAAATAAAATGACGACTTTTCTTTCTAAGTACAAAAGAGTTCATTTTCTCTTTTTTCTCTTGCCCTTTAAAATTAAAAGGCAATTTATTCGTTTATTTCCTCTAAAAATTTCATTTGATAAATCTTATTTGTACGAATAGTATGAATATTTAATTAAAGAATTTTATTGCTTATCAAAGATTTTGTCAAATATTTGTGGGAGATCATTTAATAAGATCACTTCAGAAACGCAGGAAATAAGCGTCCACGTAGGGCTCGATCAATTTTGCGATGTATATACGTCCAATTATACTACCCGAAGTACGTGAGCGGTGAAAAGGGTCACGTGCGAATTGTTCGAAAAGAATGCGATTACTAATTGGCGCTGCTGTGGGTTGTTGGTTGGCCGACAACGCTTTCCTTCGAGGCTGACTGCTCACACTGCTTCTCGTGTAATTGGGCACATTCGTTCGCGCCGGCTTGGTAATTGCAGCTAACATGTTAACTACAACTGCATTCGCGCGTTCCTCGATAGCGAACGCCTCCTTCCCTCCTCCTTCTTTAATTGGTCAATTCGAAAATGAAGTTTTGTTGTCATTAAATTTGTTCACAGACACGTGTTCCCTTGGCGGCAACCGGTTGACACTACTAATTGTGAATGCTTTAATGAATTCTGTGATGTGATTGAAATAAATGCCTGCTCATACTTTCTACCGTGACCTAATATATTAAGTAATGATATAATGATATACATTCGCTGAACTTATCCACGGAATTTATGTAATAGATATTTTGTTATGGAGTTTGATTCTAGAGTTTCATACAATTAAATATATTTAAATTATGTTTCTTGTTATGAAACGTCTTAGTTTTGAAAATAATAATTATATAATAATTTATATAAAAATATGGATACTTCTATAATTATAATTATATATTTTTTAATGTTGATATAAATTTGCTTTTGTGTTTTTTGATATTCTGTAATTGCAATATATAAGAATTTTTCATAATTCTCGATTAATCATTTAGTTCCAATAATCAAATAAATAATAAATAAAAATATAAATAAAATTGATATTTTGTAATATTATTTTAAAAGATGAAGATCAGATAGGAAGAGGAAGAAAATATAAACATCACGAAGAAACGCGGAGATCAATTTTACGAATGAAATTATGAAATTTATTTTAATGGATTGATTGATACATAGTTACTCATTGTATCATTAATTCCTTGAACACCGTGTATATTTTATTTTGATCGAAATTATCTATTGGAAAGCATATATAAAATTTAAAATCCCTAGGAAGGCCAGACGATAAGGCCCATAAATTTGGTCAAATTTTAACAATCAGCTAATTAGCGAGCGCAAATGCCATTTCTGCGAAGTAAATCGAGATTAACAATTACACGTGCACAATAAAATAGATAAAACGGAGAAAAACGGGGGAAAAAAGGGAGCTGCCGACTCTCGGATTTCACGCGATCCCGCGACATGCCTCCCGCCCAACGAGCTTTAATTAATGACGTCAGCCTGTCGTCAGGTCAATTTACGATATTCCAAGATAAACCGCGCCAGACACGCTCCAGTCGTCGCCCGGCTCCGTTCCAAATAACTCCGAGATGTGTATCGCTTGTCTCGCTTTTTCGCGGATAACCACGTTTCGAGCACGGCAACAAAGCCCAGTGCAAACCTGCAAATATTCAAGAATGATTTGCGCGTCTCGGTGATTACTCGCCGGCCAGTAATATATTCCATGTACATTTTGTTGACGTAATTAATTGTAGACAATGTCCCTAAATGTCTAATTTATCGTTCGTATTCGATGACATCATGGGCGATGTGTTTAATTGGACAACGCGAATTCGTTAACCCGCGACGATGGATGTCATTCGCGGTTATGTGAGTGTCTAGTGTTTAGTTAGTTACTTTTGTTAAATATGTACAATTACACACACGAATGGATATTGAAAAAAATTCCGCTCCATTCTCGTTCTTTATTTTTGGTTGGAATGAAAAAAAACTTGTTGTGTAAAATCAAAAAAACAAAGTATAATAAATTTATGAAACTTTGGATTTGAAACGCAAGAGAGAGGAGAAAAAGGAGAAAGAGATTTGAAGAGATTTTATTCCATTCTTTTAAATAAAAATATTTGAAAGAATTTTCACGAATATGAAAATTTAAGATCTGGAATCAAATAAAAAATCTGAAATTCAATAAGGAACCTTGCAGAAAAATGTAAAAATTTAAATATTAGAGAAAATAAAGATTTAAATTATATGAATAAAATAAATTTTATTGAAATTGAAATAGAAATTTGATTTTATTTTTTTTTTACATCTAGTTTTATCAATATCTATTAATTTTAATCTTTGTTTAATTTACTGTTTATCTGTCTTCTTCTATCTGTTTATCTGTTTCTAATTCACAGAAAAAGAAATAAAAAGTAAATTAAACCAAGATTAAAATTAATTTATTGGTAGAAATGGACATCAATCTTTATTTCTTGACATTTTAAGATTCTTTTATTACAAGATTTTTTTCACATTTATTTTAAGTTCAGTTGGTCAATAAAATATAAATTAGAATGAAAAAAACTGTACGTATTAAGCGAGCGAAATTTTTTTATACATATAATATGACAAGGTAGGCTTGTTCGAAATACCATCACTCATTTCGATGAGATGATCTTCTGGAGTACCTCCTCAAGTGCCTCCAATTAAAAAGCCAATGTTTTAATGAACCTCCAAGCGTACCGTTATCATTGCTTCTTAAAGAACTGGCTCCAGATATTTACAACTCGTCTCATTCGCGTTGCAATCTCTGTAAAGTTATCATTTAAAAGTTTTGACATAATTAAGACTTTACCTGGAAATTTCGAAAATAAAATATCAATTTTGTGAGAGTCAAGTATTACAATTTTTGTGACTAATTCGTCATATTTCTTTTGTCACGTGTGTAAATTAATATTTTGTGGGTGAAACAAATCATAAAAAGTTACACTTTTGGAATAAATTAAATAGTGACGATTCATTGAAGTTGCATCGTTTTCCATTAATTAATAAGTTTTTAATTCGCATTCGTCTCTCGCGTTTATCTCTCAGCGTGAGCAATTAGCAAAGACAATGATTCATTACGTCTTAGTACAATCTGAAATATATGTTTGTATCGTTTGCAATTCTTGGCGCAACGGTTTGCGCTTAAATCTGACTTCATCTCATTAGACTTTTACGCGCGCTTTTACGACACGGAATTTCTTCTCGTTAATCAGACGTGGAATGACGCGAGCTCAAATCAAGTTTGTCGGCTCGTAATCGCTCTCGGCTCTCGGTTGTTGTTCATTGAAGCCGCCTCTTCCCGACGACGACGACTCCAATTTAACGCCGACGGGCGGTCTTTTACTTTCAGTTGGGCGACGCGATGTTTGTCGAGTTGCCACGCGTCCGCCTGGACGGCGGCGCACGTGCTTTTCGGCAGCATTGGGGCTACGAGACGCGACCGTTGGCACCACCACCGCCGCTGATCGAGGAGGACGAGGCAGCCGTCGAGCCAGAAACTGTCAGCCTTCGGGAAGCCAACACCGCATCCCCGATAGGTGAGTACCGTTCGAAATATGGTCGCTCGCGATAATCTCGTTTCCGCGTACAGCACCGATAAATTTTTCACGTCCGACTGCTGTCCGATTGAGATTGCATTTTATATTACCGCCTGTAATCTTTATGTATAT